TCTAAAGTTTAGGTTTCCAACTCTTAAATTGTCTAAAGTTTGTTAATAAAAGTATAGTTTCTAAAGTGACATTTATTTCATATATATATAATGATGATTCCATATTGATTATGATACCCAAGGGAATGGCTGAACTTGAATAACGAAATTTGGTCATAACAGAAACTGTATTGAATCTTTGTCTGTTCAACAAGACCATTGCAAGGTCAGAGGGTATTGGTTTGTTCTCCGATATTTTCCCTGGGCAGGGGTGTTTAGTGGATTTAGGGAATCCAGGGACCGGAAAGAGTATCCGAGCCAAACCAAACCGTTTGCAGACAAAAGTGGAGTTGGAAGTTTCAGCTGAGCGCAGCGCAGTTCCTAGTTTGATATTATTTCATTTTGTCAATTTTCTAATATTGATAAATATCTTCAAGAAAGTTTTAAGCATATATTCTCGTGCAAACAAATTTAGATCATGTAATTCAAGTCCCAGTTCATTTCAGAATTAATTGATATATGCTTGAGTTCCACCAGTTGTTTAGAAAACAGAGGAGCACTACGGTAAGAAGATATAGAATGAGAACTGGGTTTTCATGGTCTTTGTTGAATGGACGTAAATTTAATTTGTTGTATATATGATTTTAAGCATTAACGATGATGATTTTTAAGTATTATAACGTCTTTTTTTGTATTTTAAGTTTTGAACTTGCTAGCAGCTTATTGCAGCACAATGATGATCAAGTTCATCTAGTTGCAGTCATCCCAGAGTTACAAAACCTGTGTCACCGGGAACATTGAGGTAGGACGAATTTTATTTTGGAATATTCTTTATTTTTATGATTCATTGAGAGTTGACAATATAAAAAGAGAGCCTCTTCAATTATAGGAATAAAATTTTGCAACTTATCCTGAGAAGAAAACAAATTGATTTACGTCCCCAAGCTGTAAATTATGTAAAATCTACGCATTAATTAAGTAATTTGGTGAATAGAGAGCCTTCTCAATTATAGAAATAAAATTCTGCATCTTATACTGTGAAAAATGGATTTACATCACTAAGCTGGAAGAAATTATGTAAAATTAAGTTTAAATTAAGTAATTTGGTAAAAAGAGAGCCTTCTCAATTATAGAAATAAAATTTTGAATCTTACACTGAGAAGAAAAAACAAATGGATTTACGTCACTACCCTAGAAACCAGAAGTCGTCCTCAGGACGTCATGATGTTTAAATAATGTAATTTGGTAAATAGAGAGCCTGCTCAATTATAGAAATAAAATTCTACAACTTGTCCTGAGAAAAATTGATTTACGTCACTAAACTGGAAATTATGTAAAATTATATTTAAATTATGTGATTTGGTGAATAGAGTGCCTTGAGCCTTCTCAATTATAGAACTAAAATTCTTCAACTTTTCCTGATAAAACTGGATTTACGTCACTAAACTGGAAATTATGTAAATTTATGTTTAAATTACATAATTTGTTCCCAAAAAAAGTGTTAAAGATACTGTAATGAATCAAACATGTCTCTTTCTATATAAATGGTTACTTATAAAAAGTCTTGTCTAGGGCTGGGCATGTTCCAACTTTTTTGAAATCGTTCCATTCCGTTCTAGAACGAGGGTCTTCAGCTAAATCGTTCTTTTCTCCTTCCTCTTTTTTATCGTTCCGTTCTTGTTCCGTTCCGTTCTGTCCCGTTCCGTTCTGTCCTGTTCCATTCCGTTCCGTTCCATTTTGTTCCATTCCGTCCCGTTCCGTTCCGTTCTGAATAGAAGAACGGTCTTTCTGTTCCGTTCCATTCTTGGTGTTCATAGTTGAAGAACGGTTGCATCCCTCTTGTTCTGTTCTTAATCAAGAACTCTTCCATCCCCCAATCCGTTCTTAGTAACGAACAATTTCATCAAGACAAAAGTTTTATAGAAAAGAGTTGGTTAAAAAGTAAAAAATTACGATTTTTTAATAAAAAGTTCCTTACAACCGTAATTAATACTTTGAGTTAT